CCTCCAACCTCCAATACACACCTTCCTCTTCCTTTACTCTTTACACATTTTCCCTTACACTTCATTTTTACATTGTGGTTTGCCTCCTTTTGCATTTATAATACACAGTGGATTGTATATTCTAAGTGTGGGGGAGGGTTTGCTTGGACTAACATTTGGCATTCTCATCACAGCTGCATTTACATGTAGCTAGACAGCCATGCATTGCACTTAAGGCATAGAAAATCACTAAAAAATTGAAAATTTTCGAAAATTGATTTCTTAAAAACAGAGTGTTCATGTTCATTCATTCAAGACTTAGGCTTCATGCATTCACTTAGGTTGTAGCTTGCTTGTTTAAAATGGGTGCAATGATAGTGAATCTTTGAAAATGCTAGTGAATTATGAAAATGATGCCTTTGTTCTTAGTCCTTTGATGCATTTGATGAAGCACTTGAAATAAGGCTGAACCACTCTTTGAATTTATGATTTGAAACTCTTGTTTGATGTTGAAGCTTGCTTAATCCGATCTTGACCTTTATGTAAGTGGAACCTTAATTTGATCTTTAAATTATCTTGTTTGTGCATTGAAAGTGATTGCATGGCTACCAATATACATATTTGGATCATCTTCTTCCTTTTCACCACTCTTGTTAATCCAAATAGTTGATCCTCATCATTAAGGGACATTTAACCATACCTTGAACCAATCCTTCGTTCTAAACTCAAACACTATTGTGAGAGTTTGTGAGGCCTTGCATCATCATTTTAGAACTTATTTTGGCAAAAAGTGTTAGGAATAAGGCTAGCAAGGAGAAGCTCTCTTGTAGACATCAGCTTGCATTTTGAGCTTGATACTAGGTTAGGAGTTTTGGGAAGGGGTAGAGATAAGTGGTTTAAGCTTTAAATGTTTGTATCTTTGAGAAGAGAAGAAGAGTGGGAATGATTTCAAGAAGAGAATGATATTGTGGGAAGATGATTGTATCTTGTGGTTAAGTGAAAAAGAAGAAAGCTCTAAGTTACAAAGAAGAACATGCACCAGCAACAACAAGCTTACAAAGGTCATCCAAAAGGAGAAAAATCAGACCAAGCAATCCACCAAAAGGTGGTGAAAATTGGCGCATATACAACAAAGAAGAGCAAATTCTAAAAGAAGTCCGCCACACAAGCATAGAAGAAGAAGTCCCCCACATTTCAAGAAGAAAAAAAATAGATCAAAAGATCTTTGGGAAAGGGTAGATCTAGGGGTCTATCTTGGGACTTAGACATAACTAGGATCATCTTTGGGAAAGGGTAGAAGAGAGCTTTGACTTGCATGCATAAGTGTGCTTTTACCTTTAGCATTTTGCCTAAGATAGATTCATTTCATATGAGAGATCCCATGTTTCTTTGACCCATTGATGAATGAGATCATTTTTATCTCATAACCATGTCCCTTGAACCAAATGCTTTCACTTGATTTGCACAAACTTGATCCATTGGTTACTTGCTAATTGAATGTTAAAAAGGTCAAGTGATTTGAGAGCTTGTGTAGATTGATAACTTGAGAATCATTTTCATTTTGTGATAAGTGCGGCTAAGTTTTAGAGTAAAGCTCCATCAGTTGCATTCTAGCACTAGAAACATGGACATCATTTTGATCTATTGTTAGCATTTCAATGATATGAGTTCCCATTTTAAAACCTCATCACCATGCAAGATCTTTTATATGCTTGAGGACAAGCAAAGACTAAGTGTGGGGGTGTTGATAGCTTGCTATTTTAGATCATTTTAGGCTGCATTTCATGCATCTTTTCCTCTGTTTTTGCATTATAGTTTAGCATTTTAGTATCATTTGCACTTAGAATCAACATGGCATGCATTTAGCTTAGGATTGCATACATTTGCATACATGTGCATATTTGTGGTGGTTTTCAGGTGTTCTTGGAGAGTTTTGGAGTTGGAAAGGAAATGAAAGCAACTCATGTTTGGAGGAGATGCCAAAGAAGCAGCTTTGCAAATTCTGTGTCCATATCGAGGTCTAGCATCGAGCAGAACATCCGCGAAGCTTGCTCGATGTGAAGCGCGGGACGAGGAAGAAAGATTTGACCGAGGACCCCGAGACTGCACCGAGGTAGTGCACCGAGCTGGGCATGCCGTACAAGCTGATACAGATATACAGGGCATATCGAGGTGTAGCATCAAGGAGAACACCAAGAACCCACCTCGATATCAAGCTAGCAGCATCGAACAGAACACCTTCCCTTGCACCACGATGCGTCAACGCCAAGAGTTGACCAAGATTTTTCTACTTTTTGTCAAACCTTATCTTCTTAGCCTATTTAAGCTAAACCTTATCTTTTTAGCACTTATCTTCTTCTTTACCCTATTTCTGACCTTGTGGGAAACCACAAAGAGATTTTTATGGGATTTTGATCAAAACCACTCTTTTAATAAAGTTTTGCACTTCTTTTGTCATTTTTCTTCTAGTTCTTGTTTAATCATGTTTGGTCTATCATCTCTGCTTATTTATGTTGATTTTTCTATGTGTTGTGAGTAGTTTCATATGGTTTGAGGTTGGAGCAGATTTGGGGATGATTGGTTGATAGTTTAGGGTGTTTTCGTTTGATTAATGCTTAGATCACTTAGCTTAGTTGTTCTTAGTGCTTAGTAACTCTGTTAGGGTGAAACTGATTATAGGTGTTTGCTGCATCACAAGTGTTTGTTTAAATGCCTGAAAGAACTTTGTTAGGAACATTCTCCTAGATGATTATATTGGCGTTTAGGTAGCATGTTTGGTCTATAAGAGCCTTGTGTTTTCATGCTGGTTTTTCACAGATACGCCATCACAAGTGGGTCTGACATGTGCTTAACTTAGACATCTCTGTTCTTGTTGCGGGCTGGTTTTGCACAGATACGCCATCACAAGTGGGTCTGACATGTGCTTAACTTAGTTGTTTCTGTTCTTTATGCGGATTGATTGATTTAGTGGCTTGATCATGCTCTTTGCTTGTTATCAGTCTTGACCACCCTAGGTTTGATACTAAGTAATCTCCAAGTCATCATTGCTCTAGCCTTGAACCAGCGCCTCATTGTTCTTTGCTTTTCATCATTTTGTGTTCTGTTTTTTCTCTGTTTTTAGTTGCTTGCTTTTGTTCCATTCCTTGCCTTGCATTTCAAGTTATTGCATTTAGCATTTATTTTGGTTCTTGCACTTCTATTGCTTTGCTTACCTTAGTCGTGTTGCATTTAGATCATTGTCTTGTTAGTTTCTGTTGCATTTATTTTTTTTGCATTGCATTGCTTGCTTTAGTCTTGTTAGTATTGCCTTTCACTTGTGCATTTCATCTTTGATCATTTAGGTTGTTAGAATCATCTTCTTTTATCATACATGGTTAAGCTTAGTTAGTGTCTTGCATCTCTTTTATTCTAGCTCCTAGATGGATTAATAAAACCTCTTATATACTACATCTGATTAGAAAGGGATTGAATCTAATGACCCAAAAGTCCTTCAATTATTTTACAGGAACGACAAAAGGTCGACTCCCCGACTAATTTCCAATCAGTCGAGAAGTCAGAGGGAAATTGTTGAGCCCACTTTTACCACGACCATTCATGTGGCAATATGCGACCGCTGGACCCCGCTAGAGAGTTGGTTTTCTTCCACTAGGCCTACCACCAACCCCTTAGCAGATTGTACTTGGACAGGTGGCATGCTTACAGAGTCAGGCGTGTTATATTGGATCACCTGCTCCCACTGTGGGCCTCACGGATTGGACAGGACGAGGGAGATGGGGTATAAAAGAAGGCCTAAAGCCAAAGAGAAAGGATCGGACCCTTGGAACTTAGAGGAGCCACACGAGGCACCCAATGGAGGAGGAGGGGAAAACCTCCGACCTCTGTTTCACCGAAGCTCGCCAGGATCCCCATGCTAACAGTGAGAGTAAAGGGGAATGGCCACTGCTCCTCGGAGGAAACGCCTTCCAAGATAAGCGTCTTCCTAACCTTCCTTTCCTTATTCTGTATCTGTGTAAAGAGAGTTCATACCCGACTCTCTTCACGGTCCATTTTTCATGCTACCCCGTCCACCAAACATCAGACAGATATCACGATCCGCGGACGGGATATCTAACCTTTAACCACCTCAAAACCTACCTTTTCGAGTACTTATTTTCGGTAGGGCGTGCAATGACTTGAGCGTCGGAGAATCTTCTGGAGGGAAACCCCCTTTCGGTCCACTGGGAGGTCCGATTCACTTGTTTGCCCATATCTGCAAGACTCACCATACTTCTGCTCCAGAGCCATGCATCGCTCATCCCCCTAGAGGACAAAACTCGGAGACACAACTCCATACATCATCACATACCTTCCTTGTAAGCATTCCAAAATTTACTTCCAAACATACGAATTTATTATAAATTATTTTAAAATCTATAAAAATAAAATAAAAATAAAATAAAAATAAAAATAAAAATTTGAATAATTTATAAAAGTAATATATTTTTTTCTTTATAAAATTTGCTATATATTTAAAAAAAAACTGACTTTTATGTTTAATTTTCTTAATTTATGTTTTATTTTTAATTTAAACACAATACATGTTAAAATTTTAATCGAAAAACTTGACACATGTTATAAATTATTAATTTTAACATATTCAACTTTATATAATTAGATAGATTTTGTTAATTTAGCTTTTTTGTTAGTAATTAATTTTTTTTTTGTTATTTTATCTTTTTGTGATATCAAATTTCTATTTTATTTAAATAAAAATTATAGATTTAGATTTTTGAAATAATTATTTTTTATCTGTTTTGTTAATTAAATTTATTTTATTTTAATTTTTTATTTTATTATAATAATTTTTTATTTTTATATATATTATTTAAATTATTAATAATATTTAATATTTTGTGTTTTTAAACGTTAATGTATGATTGAATTTCCTGTAAAGATTGATTTTAAGCCGTTTATTTAAATTTCCAAAACTTAATAGCCCGACACGCCAATAGTATAAGCCCAACATAAAATCTAAGCTCATTAAAGTACATTAAGCCCATTTGTTCAGTTGAATCAAAGAGAGAAAGAGAGAGAACAAGCATCCATGGCTTGAAGGAAAAGAAAAGTTTCTCACTGCTTTCTTTTTTATAAACCCTTCCAACAGCGAAACGAGAGCGAAGAATAGAAAAAGAACAACAGAAAGACAGAAAAGTTAACAAGCAATAATGTTTAGGAATCAGTACGACACAGATGTGACGACATGGAGCCCAACGGGTCGTCTCTTCCAAGTAGAATACGCCATGGAAGCAGTGAAGCAAGGATCCGCCGCGATTGGACTCAGATCTCGCTCCCATGTCGTCCTCGCTTGCGTTAACAAAGCCCAATCTGAGCTCTCTTCTCACCAGAAGAAGATATTCAAAGTCGATGACCATATTGGCGTCGCAATAGCTGGTCTCACCGCCGATGGTCGCGTTCTCTCTCGTTATATGAGATCGGAATCAATCAATCACTCTTTCACTTACGAGTCTCCTCTTCCCGTTGGCCGTCTCGTCGTTCATCTAGCCGATAAGGCCCAGGTTAGTGTTTTGGTTGATCTCGGCTTCTTGTATCGTTAATCGAGATTTGGGTGAAATTTGGAATCAGTCGCACTTGATTTTGTGTCACTCATTGAGCTAAAATTTAGTATTAGCTTCTTAACTTTGCGCGTAGGGCTTAATATGCAAAAATTGTGTTTAGTCTTCTGCAATTGCTGGCTAATTTGTGATAATTCTTGATGGTTTTGATTTAAAGCCTTAGGAGGTTAATAGGAAGTATAATAGTGATCGTAGCTGATTAAGACTTTAAGAGCTTGATTTAACGGATAATGAGTTGTTTGATTTGTATTACCAGAAACACAAATCATGTTTGCATGTTGTTGTCACAGCTGCATAAATCTTGTATACAAAAGGCTTTACCTTTATCAAAAGGAAGTCTTAAAAACTTTCACTTTTAGCAATAGGATTCTAAAAGAATGAGTTTTGGGTTTTGTTTCTAATACTTCAGTACTTGTTTATGCAGTCGCCATTAAGATAATTGATCGTCCTTTCATTTAGTTGATTAATTTAGGTATTTGTCTCACCTTTCACTACCCCTGCTAGATGTTGTTCTACAAGTTATGGGTTTCTTAAATTAGCTGTTGTATTCACAATCGCATGTAGGTTTTTTACTACATCTCACTTTGAAGAGGCTTTGTTTTACTGCTTTATTTAGGAATTGCTGAGTTGAAAAGTAAATTTAGACCCCTTAGTAGCAAAACTGGTATCTGTTTCTTGTAGCATCTTGGTGCAGTTTGCTTATGGAATTGTTTCTTACTAACATGATAATGATAGTACCACTAGTCATATGTTGATCCACCTGCTCTCCAGTAAAATATTCTGCAATTCCTGGTAGTTTAGAGCTTTGATTCTGAAACCTAGATGAGTCTGACAAGTATGTTGCCTACGATTATGTGTTACATCCAACTTCTGTTGACATATGAAACTCATTTTCTGTTGTATTCCAATTATCAATTATTAGTTTGCTACAAAGCTACTGGGAAGAACTCCCATATATCACCTCCCTTATTAAAAGTCTATTTTCCTCATTCTCGTATTTTAAAAGTTGGTTTACTTTTAATAGTATTAGTATGAGAAGTCTTCGCTAGAGAGGTCCAACTTCATTTACGTTAGTTTTACCAAGGTTTCTTCGAGATACTTGTTGACCTGAAAAAGGAAATTTTGGGTTTTTTGAAAAGGTCTGTACCCAACGCTCATGGAAACGGCCCTATGGCGTGGGCTTGCTGGTAGGTGGATTGGATGAGTCAGGAGCCCACCTTTACTACAACTGCCCAAGCGGAAACTACTTCGAGTATCAAGCTTTTGCTATCGGGTCCCGTTCACAAGCCGCAAAGACCTATCTGGAACGTAGGTTTGAGAGCTTTGCGGATTCTTCAAGAGAAGATCTGATAAAAGATGCGATCTTGGCTGTTAGGGAGACACTGCAAGGAGAAACACTGAAGAGTTCTCTATGCACCGTCTCTATTCTAGGAGTTGGTGAACCTTTCCACTTCTTGGACCAGGAAACGATACAGAAAGTGATTGACACATTTGAGAAAGTTTCGGGGGAAGAGGAAGGCGAGGGCGAGGATGGTGAAGGTGAGGCTGAAGCTGCTGCTGCGGCTGCTACTGCACCAGCAGAGCAAGGTGGCCAAGACGTGGCTCCAATGGAAATATAAGGCTTTTGTGTGATCGCTTGGATTATTTAAATTGATGTTAGTTGGATTTTACTTTGGATAATTTCATATGAATCATTTGCAAATGGCTGCGGATTTTTAGATTGTATGCTCGAAAACCTCGCGAGTTGAAAATCATTTGGTCATATTAACTTAATAGCTGCTGCTAAGACTCTTGTAGTTTTGCTCTTTTGGTTTAAGTCTGTTCACTATCTCATTTGCTGAGTCAAACACGAACGCAACAACAATACACGCCAATAAGTACGTTCTATGAACCGATCCCAGTCAACCATACTACAGAAAACCAGTCCTGGTTCTCCTGGATGACCGGTACAATCCACCAAGACTTAGGTGAAGAAAGGCCGGTTAAAAGTACAAACTCTTTTTCATACAGTTGACATTGTCGAGAGAGTACGTACGATACATATGTGCAAAAGCTTTTGTGGGATGGTACGCTCAGGCCTCTGAGCCCCTCTTAAAAGGAAAGGCTTGGGTGGTTTCTCTAGTGAACCCCGTCATTTTTTTTAGTTTTGAATCTGAGAAAGAGCAAATGGAGTTCGAGTTTAGCCCGATGTTTAATCACTTGAATATGGAAGTAACTTCTCTTTTTAGTTGAGTAATCAAATATGAAATACCTCTTCTCAAGAATCGGTGTGTTGCTGTAGCGAGTGAGCGACCTTGCGATCCTGAACGAGCTAACCATGTTGTGAGAGCGTGGTGCAGTATCACCATTTGAAAAATCTGATTTCATCTAAAGAATAGAGTATATATGGTTTCATCTTATTTCGACTAATTTTTTATACAGGACTATATGTACTATTTTATACTGTAGGAAATAGAAAGGTAGAACGGTGGCTGTTAACACCAGATCAGTTCCTAGAGACAATAATTTCGCTATATTTATAACCAGGAAAATAATTTCAACATTTTCGTAAATCATTTTTGTCTAAACGTAGTATTAATCTAAACTCATAAATACTTCACATTTCCCACCATTGGTTTCCTTCGATGGTTGTACATATTCCAAAATTTACGTGAAACTCTAATAGATTAGTAATCTAAGTTTTGTTAAAAGATAAAAACTAACACTTCTAAATTTACTGTTAATTTCAAAATAATGATAAAATTATTCGCTCAACCTCATTTAGTCCAAAAGAAAACATTATTGGGCCCCTCGACATGATGGCAACTACGAAAAACTTTAGATGATGGGAAGCATGTAAGAGCATCTCCAACGGAAGAGATTCTCCTAAAAATATTATATTATTATAATTTAATAAAATAATTAATTTTAATAATAAAAAAAGTAAATTAATAATTGAATAACACATGTTTTAAGAGTATGTTTTAAGAGTATGAGAAATTGTTTAGAATGCTTCTTAAATGAGAGATTTTAGGAACGATATCTGAACTTTTCTCTCTCTCCTACTTTTTCATTTTTTTAATTATTTTTATTGATTAGAACCTCAAAAATTTTCTACTATTGGAGATTAAGTTGTAGCCACAGCCATTGACTTTCCCGTCTATCTCAATCATTTGCTAATTGCTTATCCGTTATATCATTAACCATCAAACCGAACATAACCGAGGGAAAAAATAATGATTGTTTTTAATTGTTATAAGAACTAGTGGATCATATAAAACTAAATTAACAAAGAACAACCATGTTTTCAGTCTACAAAGCTGTTGAGAACTAAACATACAAAACTAAATCCAATTGATTAAAGAAGGGAATTTGGAATTTTATAGCTAAACTTTTTGCAACTTGATTTAGAAGAAACTGAAAAAATGAAAAACGAAAATGCTAGAAAAAACGCACAATCGTTTACAAGTCCCGACAATGCTAATCTTATTGGTGTTTAATTTAATTTAGGCTGTTTGTGACTAAGAATGGATTGACGAGAGTTGTTGGCCCCGTTCGATTTTGATATAAGTATTATAGATATTGTATTAACGCTCACCATATATACAATTATACAAACTACAGAATCAAGATTCATCTTGTACATGTACGCTTTTCACATGATTTCGTGATTTTTGCATTAAAATGGGATTCTGCAATTTTATAGCACAATATTATAAAATTTCGACGCCAAAACATGATTACGCTATTTGATGATAAAATATAATTTTGAGTCTTTGACGCCTAATCCATAATTCTATCAAGTTGGTTCCAAAATGGGATTCCACTATTTTGGCGCAAAAATATAATTTAATAAGTATAATGAATTTTTTAATGATATTTTGGTGATTACATGCAGAAATTTCATCAAAACTATTTTTTGTCCATTTCACCATAGCATCTTTACATATTGTTTCGATCAAACGAACAATATTGATCAAACAAACAATACTGCATCCAAATATATAGAAGAATAGCACCAAGTCCGTCTACTCATAGTTAAAATCTAAAGTACCAAATATGGATTTAAAAATAGTAATTTGGACGATTGGACCAATGACGGGGGAAAAAATTGAGAGCGGATTAAACCGGACCGAAAATATGTTCCAAACAACAACCATCCTAACTACCATATATGTTAATCTAACAACTTATTGAAATGCTTGACTTCATGCGAGAATATTAAATACCTATAATAAAACAAAATAAAGAAAGAAGAAAGTGTTGAGAATGTTATGCAAACATGGCCAGCTCAACGTCTATGTTGTAAGACGTTGTCTTCTTCTCAAACCATTTTTGTATTTTTTGCTTTATTATTAAGGATGAAACAAAGATCGATCGTTGGTCAGAAAAAAATTAGTTGTTGTTGAGAAATGAAAGGAAGGGCCTACGTAATGATCTTCTTCTTCTGGGCACTTCTCACCATAATCACACCAATGCTTGTTAGCTGGTCTCAGGCTCTCAAAGGTATTACTCTTAACATCAAACTCCATTTATTAGTCAAGAAAGTGGCGTTTTAGTTTCTTGTGTTCCAAAGAGATAATATTGAAAATACATTTCATTTTATATGGTTTTTAGAACAAAAAATCAAGGACTCTGGTCCAAGACGAATGATGGGATATTCAGAAAAATTGTACTCGACAAGAGAGTTTGTTGATCGCTTAGAAGAAGAAGAGTTGATGATGGAACCGTCGATGGCCCCTACGCCTGAAGATATGCCTTCCATTAATCAAACTTTAAAGCGGATAATACAAGAAGAAGGACCAGCCACTAAACATAAACATCCTATGAGTTTGCGATAATTTTTATTGGAGATTTTTTCTTTTGTTTACTTCCACTATTATCTAAATTAACTTGTTCATAAGCATTTGGTTAGTTTTTGAATACACTAAAACTAATGTTGGCGAGTGGCGAGAGCAGTTCTTGTACATAGGTTAAATTTGCATCCGTTTGGCAAAAGCCAATGGTAAGAACATTGCTGTTCCTATGGTTTTTGGTAAGAAAGATCTAGAATATAATTATTCTGTAATCATTCCTATTTTTCCTAATGTGTTTAACACTTAGAGAGGTGCCTATCATTAAGGTTTGTAGCAAGAATTATGTCCTCGCCAAAGGGTTCATGTCATTCAATTTTGTTCAAGTAGTGCCCCCGTGTATTCTTCAAGACTAATCTCGAAGAAGTCCACTATAAATGATGTCCGAGTTTTACTTGCCCGAACTATTGACCTTCACGAGCACGGTCTTGATTACGACGTCGGCCAATTAAGGACTAAAATATTAGAACAATAAAGATTTGAGGAATGGATTAATTAAGCTAAACCAATCGTTTTAATTTTTTTCTTTGCTGGTTTTCTCAAAACTGAACATGAATGACACTTAAAAATGAACCAAAGGAACGTGTAGTTAGCGAAAATAAACAAAACTATTAAATAATACATGCAAGTTAGGTGGTTATAAAGTTCGAAAAAAATAAAGTTAGGTGGTGAAGCAAGTCCTTAACTTGATGAGGTGAACCATAATTACTCGGTGGGTCACTTTGATCGCCGGGCTTGAATCAAGTGGGCTCATAGTCTTTAGTCTGTGATCATGACCCAACAAAGCCTAGTCAATTTTTTCGGGCCGGGTTAGAATGGGATCAAGATCGTTGGGTGAGATCATGATCGAGATTATTCCATGATCATTGGGTTCACTCATGAATTGATCTTATTTTACTCGATGTTGGTCCGAGAAACTCCATAAATTTTGGACAAGAATTTTGTTTGTGGTGACCCAATGGGGATTTCATTTGATTGTGTAGATCATTTGAAGCCAGTTCATTTTTCCATGACCATGTCATAGTATCATTATTAGGGACTAGGCTCACTTAAGAAACGGGTCCCTGAGTTAACTAGTCTTATTCTGGTTCCAGATCTTTAACATATCAATCGCAGTTCAGAATCTAAAATTCGTTAAATAATAAATTCGAAATATGATGTTAACTTTTTTACCAAAGTAAAAATGGGTCGAATCGAAATCAAGCAATAAAACTCGTTCAGTTCGAAGTTGGGAGCAGTGAAAATTAAAACTACAAGTAAATGCTGACTCCAATGTCAAACTGAAGTAAATGCTTTGGGAAAAAAAAAAACGGCTGAATCTCACTAAAATAAATGCAATAATCGCATAATCAAACAAAGTAAATAGAGATGTACGATTTCAGAGGTATAAAATAATAGGAGAAGCAGAGGGGCAACTTTTATATTATCAAAACTTCTACAACGTACACTACACATTTCTCTCTAATAATTTCAATCCGAGCAGATCATTATTTGTAAACCTAGAAACTTGACTTTTTCCAATTTCGCAGAAATATTTGCGGGCTGAATTCTGATGGACCAAGATGAAACATCGGCTGTTCATGTTACCATTGGAAAGATGACACTCCATAATCTTCAGAACATCCAAGATCGCGTGATTCGAAATTTTACTAGGTAAATAAAGATGTTAAACATATTATAAAATATCAGCTTTAGTAGCAAAGTTATGTATTTTTCAGATTCTCGTTTAAATTTTGATTGTGACTTTTGACCAGGTCCAAGGTAATAAGACAGTAAAGTCTAATTACGGTTTGCCTTCACTGCCTGAGACTTGCTCGAAATTCATACTCAAAGCTCAACTCAAAATCTACAAATACACAACTCTGCAACTAAGGTTCATATTCTCAAATTTATATAGATCTGCTTATTCGAAAAAAACCCCATATAGATCTGCTTATTTAGTAAAACTTCAAATTGCTCACTATTCTAGAAATTTTGGAGTGTTTTCTTTTTAATGGTGCTAAGTACATCGGTTAGTTCTTTTTGGCCCGTTGAGAATTCGGCCCAAAAACTATTTTACAAAACTAAAAAAAAATCAGATTTCTAAATATACACAGAATGGTGAAAGCCACCTTGGCCCAATGGTTTAATAAGGATTTAATAATGTTTCTACACCAGGAGGTCTGGGTTTCAAATCCCAGAGAACACGATTTATTCTTAATTATGCAGATTAATGAAGAATGATGTAAATTAATGGAGGCAAGCTTACAAGAGATTTTCAGCGTGGTGCAAGTAGAATCGTCAGGCGTAGATTTTCGTATGATAATGATGAGCGTGGTGCGGGATGCAGGTAGAGCCGTTAGTCGTGGATCTTCATAAGACGGTAGAATTGACCGTTGTAGAATCGTCGATGTAACAGTTCTCATAATTTGCAATAGATTAATAATCAGTATTAAAAAAAATATACACAGAATGACCCATTCAGGTTGAACTGACAATAAATAACAGAATATACCTGCAAATTGAGCGAATCCAGAGGCTCGGGGAATAAGGAAGAATTCTCTTTCCAACGACACCAAAAACTCTATATGGGTCCTTCAGAGATGATGGGAAACAGCCTCTCAATATGGATGGACGGATATGCTATCGACGACTGGCTGCAGAAAATCCAGCAGAGCTTTGCTGTGGCTTTTTCTCTGCACACTAAGATGCTTGACATAACTTATAAATAGGAGGGAAAGAAGAGTTCACTTCACTTAGATTTTAGGCTTTTGACATGGGGCCTTACACCATCAGTTATTTAAGGTTTTAGAATTGTTTTGGAGATTGAACCATAATAAAAAAAAGTAACAGGAATAAAATTATGATTTCTTTCTTATATACATTAAAAATAATAAATTTGAGTTACAATTTTACTCTCAATTATTAAAAAAAGCCACAATTTAATATTTATTTTTTACATTTTCACCCACTATGGCAATTCATAATTGAAAAAATATTATTACAAATTTAGTTTTACTAAATATTTAATTTTTACTTTATTTAAAAAATAACATGCATATCCTACATTTATTTATCATACCCAATCGTAATTTACAAAATATCATTTGAAATTAAATTTTACTAAATAATGTATTTTTACTAGATTTCAATGTAAACATGATTTTAATGTAGGTGTTGGGTCCATTTTATCATAACCAATTTTTAAGCGACACGTAGCTACTAGGCTTCGCCGGAGCGCTGATCTTCTCCCACTAGGCCTGTCACTAACCCCTAGTGGACTATTCTCGGGCATGTGGCATGCTTGTCGAATCAGGCGTGCTGTACTGGCGCGCCGCATGGATGGGACAAGACGAGGAAAATGGGTTATAAAAGAAAGTCTAAAGCCAAAAGAGAAGAGGAGGCTGGATCCTTGGATCCCGGATGAGCCGCTTAGGGCGAATCAGAGAGAGAGAGAGAGAGAGAGAGAGAGAGAGAGAGAGAGAGAGAGAGAGAGAGAGAGAGAGAGAGAGAGAGAGAGAGAGAGAGAGAGAGAGAGAGAGAGAGAGAGAGAGAGAGTATTGGAATCACTCTAACTTAAGATCACTTAATGATCAATAGATTTCAAGCTTATGATTTGCGGAAGTGGAATGAAAGTAGAAATAGGAGGGGGAGAGGGTGGAACTGATCGACTCAATCAATCAAATGAACAAACAAGAATGTCTGAATAACTCAAAACACTCTTTATTTTCAGATCAATAGACCAAAAGTATCTCACACACTTAAAATCTAAAGATAAGAACAAAAGAGTAAAGAAATCCACCTAAGACTCTAATGAACCACACAAAAGAAAAAACTTTTGTAAACTGAATAATATCTTATTGATTTCTAAAATGATTGGTACTTTAAAATGAAAGACTAGATGAGCTTATATAGTGCTCAATACATAAAAAAGCTAATAGTAATAAAGATACTCAAATGAATCAAATAATCTATATTTAAACAATATGGCCGTTGGAGAAGATTTGCTTGGTCAAACAAGGAAAATTGTGGACTCTTGTATCTTGAAAGCTTCTGGATGATCCACGAAATAAGTATAGAGCCGTTGGTCCTTGTCTATTAATGATTCTGGCGCCAAATATGGAAAGTCTTGGTGTATGGCTTGGCAAGCTTGAATACTCCTGATCCAAAGGCTGGGAATGAAGCAGGAGATGTTAATAAGAGGATCTAGTTGTATTAGATATCTTCCTGGTTGTCAAACATATGACTGAAGTCTCCCAAACCCGGAAGGTTAAAAATAAGGTAAGTGTAGCATCAACCGGTTTAGAAACTTAATATCTTTGACATCAGAATCGATAATGATGTGAATCCAACTCTCCTCAGTCCTCTGATGAATCAAGATTGCATAACAAGTCAGTTCGTAGCTTGATTCCTCATGGTTCGGTAGGAAACCTCCAATAACTGCTTGCATGTCCAATTTGGGAAAGTTCCGGTTCACTCGACTTAGAAATTGAATAACTTCCACACCATGACGAATTTTGGCATGAATCCAATTTTCTTTGGTTCTCTGACGCGTTCTGTTTCCAAAACATCTGGTTTTGTTGCTTGAATCGTCGTCTTTTGGCCGGAATGATTTTATTACTGGTCTCCAGCGGGTTCATTGAAGATCTGCCAATTTGTATCTTCAATATCTTCTTCATATGGATTCGGTTTTAGCTGATTCTTCTTCGTGGTGAACTCTAGGTGAGTTGAGTATGCTCTCCAAGTCCAGGTTGAGTCTGAATGCACAGAAGGATTAAGGTCTAGAAAGAACAAATCATGAAAGATAGCCTCTCCTTTATTCATGATATGTTCTCCAAGGGAGATCGTCTCTCCTTTACTCTTGGCTAGACCATCATGTCCGTTAATCCTCAGCTCCATTTTTGATGCTATCTTAAATATTGCATCATACTCTCATTCTTCAAAAAGTTTTGTCCTCAAAACTTGTTTATCTGCATATATATAATTCAAGTTAATATCTTTAAATGTTTGAGAGTTTAGAACATTACCTTGGGTAGAGGTTGGTGTATGGTTCAGGTGTAGTTGATGCGGTGCATCTGGTGGTTCTTCCTTGATCAGAAACAAAACAATGACAAGTGTAGCATCAACCGGTTTAGAAACTCAATATCTTTGACATCCGAAACGATAATGATATGAATCCAATTCTCCACGGTCCTCTGATGAATCAAGATTGCATAACAAGTCGGTTCGTAGCTTGATTTCTCATGGTTCGGTGGGAAACCTTCAATAACCACGCATGTCCG